GATGGACATTTTGGTTAAAAAACATATCTGCTGACATTGGTTTATTGATATTCGACAGACAGTATATGTAAACGCCATACATGAGTAGAGAGTATGTTACTGTTGGGAAATACTGACAATTGGAATGTTGAAATGATCATGTTTTTTATTGATTCTAACTTTAATCATCCATATGAGTCAATATCAAGGAAATAATAAAGATACGACGCAGATCTTCTAGATCATCTCACCAGCGACATCTTTTCGCGGTCATTCATCGTAAATATGTACGAGAATGGTATATTGAAAACGTATTCGTTAACCGCAATCACTTATGTTTGATTTAGTAAAAATAGAACCCTTAACACTAGTAACCAACTAATATATTAATAAATCACAAAGCAATAATTCGACCTTGTTTGATTCAAACGCATGCAATTGATGTGTTTTTGTTTGAGATTATTGCTCATGTGCTCAACATGTTCGGTAACTGAACAGAATAATTATTAAAAGTGAAATAAGACAAAGGATCCAAAAGGAAGACCTATATTCTGATTTGACCTGCTCGAAAGTGTATACGTATGCATTCCATAGAATAGCTTTTCTGTTATCGTTTGGCGGCAAAGGATCAGTAATTATATCTTAGAATTTTCCGAATTTTCATGTTTTTTCGGCTTTAGTTAGTTAATGATTGTCTTTCAATTCGGACAAAAAGGTGTGACAAAAATTTGAATTAGCCTTAACACAGCTTAGATGGTCAGGAACAAAAATATTTGAACTTGGCCTTTGAGTTTTCCTTTCATGCGTTTCCTTGCCACATTTATATTTCTATGTATCCTATGCTTTTCATATGATATGGATCTCAAGAGTTACCTCCCGTACGCCACAAATGCACTTCTTCCATAACAGAAACAGTCATGTAGGGTTAATCAAGTAGCCTACATGTTGTCATATAGATTCTTACATTGGTGCCAGTGGATTATTGGATTTATCCAATCGAGATAGTTAACTTTGATAATTTAACTATCGAAATTGGAAAAAAATCCGATAATCCACGGATAACTATGCCTTCGAGTGCCTTCCACATTCTACAAAGTTGTCAATTTCATTAACTCCTGTTACCACATTTTGATTTATCCAGTGAGCTGATAAATCATCTTCTGAGATCATCTGCAACCACACGTTAATTAATTTTTTTATACAATGGGTACGGAAAGGGTTAGATTGCCAAAGAATTAGAGAAAATGATATATCAAATATACAAATTGGATCTTAAGAGAAACTTTTCTTTTTTGGAACTTGCATTGGTCAAAACAATACTTGTGACCAATTATTCGACATTAATGCACGTACACTCTGTCTTTTGAAAAAAAAGTATTCTTACTTTTTTTTTATTACAGTGTACAGAAAGACATATCTGTCGTAAGTAATTTGTATGACTATCAGTTAAATGTGTCCATAGCTAATGTCCGCCACATTTATATCAAACACGTGATAAGGTTCAATGTTTACTACTAAAATAACGCAGCATCCAAATGTGTGTACAAGATGAGTTGCACAAAGGAATCATTTCGTTTTTCTGCAAATGTTACGTTTTATATATCAAAAAGAAGGAACATCGAAACCAATGCAAAACATATAAAAGAAGACAAAATTTAGTATATAATTTTATACATAAATAAGAAGATGTGGTATAATTGCCATTGAAACAACTCTCCAACCGAGATCAAATGACATAGAAGTGAACAACTATAGGTCACAGTACAGCCTTCAAAAATGAGCAAAAACCATACCGCATAGTCAGCTATAAGAGGCCCCGAAATGACAAATGTTAAACAATTCAAACGAGAAAACTAACGGCTTGATTTATGTACAAAACAATGAACGAAAACCAAATATGATATACAGCAACAAACGACAACCTCTGAAGTGCAGGATCCTAACTTTGGACAGGCATATATGTATTGTTTCAATAATTTCTTTAGCATTCTAATCACCTAAAACTCGTTTCATGCATCTTTGATATTAAAATCTTATAGATTTTGTTCAATTGTTGATTTAATTTCAAAATAAATTATCCTTATATTACAAACAAATTCCAGTAAAATATATTTTAACATCTGACGTTAACGGTTTTGAATTTCTTTCGAATTGGTTACAACATTTGTCGTCTTTGCCAATAAAGGGTCCATGGAATTCATCGATTTATTGCTCCTCATCACCAGCGCCGAATATCATATGCATATTCAGGACTTAACTTGTTAATATAATATGAATATAGGCTACTATAAACTAGACCTTCTTTCTAAGTCATATTTAACCACGCTATTTCACAAAGTAATTATCCACAAGTTCTCAGAGTACCATATCATCCTGACTTGGCATATTTTTCCTGGCGTTGACCCTGACTCAACCAGTCCTTCTTGTAAAATCACGGAAATTTGAAGTATTTAACTTTTTTTTTCATTTTTCAATACGATAGTTGTTTATTGTCAATAACTTATAGATAATGCATATTTTAAGATTTTTCTTGTCGTATAACACGCCTCGGTATACGACAAGAAAAACCTTAAAATATGCATTATCTGACTTATATACCGTTAAAAATATTAATATCTGCAAAGATTTGTAGTATTTGCAACCTATTTTTCCGGCCACACTTAAGTGGGATATTCTTTCTGATAAGTTCATGTTTTAATACGTCCTACGGCTAATTTATAATGTGAAAAAAACCACTCGCTTATTAATCTAGATATAAACTTTAGAAATTTTATCTAGGCATAATAACATACATCTGTAACTGCATGAAGCAAATTACCACTCGGTAACGGTGTATGAAAAATAAATTACGTGGCTGTTATTCTATAGACAAAAAGAATATTTTGTCATTTGATCATTTTTAGAGAGTAAAATATGTATATAGATGTAAAAGGTTAAGAACTGGCACGAAGAGAGCACGAAATCGTGATACATGTACATGTAACACGAAATACGAATATCCATACATGTAGGTAAAAGTATGATTTCCAATACAGTGTGAATCAATAAGATTTCGAAATCTTTCACATGCATGTGTTAAATCTGGCTTGTTTTAAACGTGTTATGAAAAGTTTTGCATTATCAAATTCATCTCCCATAATGTTCCTTTATTGTAGCGATAAATTAACAAAACTTCACAAAATTTGTTTCGAAAGTAAAACTGCGTCAACGACGATTTTTGGTATTCCAGTCTAATAAACGGAGGAAAAGATTGTTTATACATTAAACCTATCAAAGATAGAATATTTAAAAGTAAACCCCCAATTGGCAACAACACACGATAACTATTAATCGAATTAAATGTTTAAGTAAATTATAGTTTGCATTTTAATGAGGGAAAAAAATGACATTACATAGGTCATTATTTTAGCCTTGAAGCAAATTTTATTGAAATTTGGTATCGTCCGGGTTGAATTGCCTATCGTTCTAAAAGAAAACAACTCCATATAGGTCTATATTATGTGAATACATTACCTGTTTTTATACTTTAAAGCTACTTACTTGAACATGAAACAATGTCGTGAATATTTTTGTTTTAAAAGCATGTATAGGTCTTTTGTTTGGTTATTATGTCGGGTATATGTCAATGAAACAGCAACCCTGCGACAGAAATAACTAAAATATATCTTGATGAAAAATACATTCTTCTTTGAAAGACAGGTGTATATACAATAGTTCAAGTTGAAATAGTCCCCAGCTTGTGGAAGTTGTGAATATAACACCGAAATGTCACTCCAAATAGCAGTAAAATAGGATTAATTTAGATTTGACATACACAAGATCTTGGGGATGCTTTTTACCTTAGACAGACACATTCAAATATGGCAAGGTAAAACTAGTTTTTTGAGATCTCAAGGCATCATTTAAAACTCTAGATCAGTAAATTAAAAAAAGTACATGAATGAACATGCTGTTAAACCAAATACATGCAAAACACTTTTAGCTCTAACATACATTTATGCAATACATGAATTAAAAAAAAAAATTAAAAAAATAAATTATGATGTTTTAAACATTGGTCGGCGTTACTGAATAAAAGTTCGATTTTATTTACCTGCTGATAAAGAATTACATCGTCCTTTACAGTAGATGAACATAATACTGATACATGTCTGCGTCTGGAGCGTTTTTTTCAGGATTTTACTCTTGTTCTAAGTAATCACATGGTTTTCACGATGCATCTTCTGTGCAAAGAGAAAATAAGACAAATACTATATTTATCGTCATACCGTTCACAGAGCCTCATTGAATTCACCTTCACAACGTACTCTCGAATCAAAAGCCAAGAATGTTTAAACACCTGAATACCCGAGGAACTATATGACAAAAAGGGATCTTGAAAGAATCGCCAAATGCATCTAGAGTCAACTTAGTATGAGGGAGTTTATACTAAACAACTTCTCAAAAATAACTCAAAAAGAAAGATTGTTTACAAAAGAGTGCACGTAGCTACATAGGAATTTGTGTTGAAATAATCGCATGTTTTTATATCAATATAGAATATTTTTTTTCAAAAATCATACTTTTACAATTTTTTTGTTTTACTTGACAATATTATAATATAATTTATCAATGGATAATAATATATTATATACAGCAAAGTCATCGGCAACAGTTTCTAAAAAGTGATCTTGCGCAATACCTAAAACAAGCTATACAGAAACGTATTAGTATTGCTATATATTAATTTCATCCTGTTGAAATATTTTTGTTCCCACAAGCTTTACTTCAACTATAAATCCGCTTCCCGTATTCATAGAATTGTGTCAGAAACCAAGATCACTGTTAACATTTTTAACGATTTTAAAATTTCACATGTTTCAAAATCTAATCAAATTTGACAAAAATAATAATTTCAGGTTTATCACGGGAGCGTTTTGTGTATTTTTTTAAAGAATTCACAAATTTCGTTTTCTAGGGGGAAAAGTAGTCCGCTGTGTCCTTTTAAAGTCGTCATTGACATAACGAAAAGGCCAATGCAAATGTCACAATTTCGCTACACATTTCATGATAGACCAACCAAATAAATGCATTTATTGTATCACTACATCATATCAAACCCTGTACAGTGTGATACGAAAAATAAATCTTGATAAGGGGTAAGATAACAGTCCGTAACCATTGAAGTAATTTTAAAGCGCAGGAGATAACGGGACTCGGATGCTGAGTGTATAGTTTGCAGTAATGAGACATGTTTGACAACCCCTTTGTACAAAGTATGTATTACGTTGATTTATTTTAAGCAATAACTGTTTGACAATACTTTTTTTTATAAATATCAGTTATCACAAAATAGATATGTTGTTTACTACGATCCGTTTCCTTCAAAGTTTATAATCTTCTTAATCTTGAATGATGTGGAGGTCTCTTGTTACATGATGGACATAGGGATCATATGTAGTCTTAGATATTTTACTGTCTAATATTGAATGAACATTATTTTTTTCTATATTTACATCTGGTGCAATTGTTAATAAAAAAATAATTCAGTTTGCGTCTTTGTATAGGAAATACGCAAGACGCTCTTAAGAGCTCATGTTTAACAGATTGTTCACTGAATAGTGGGTTATGCATTTTACAAGCATTAGTCTAGTAGAAACATATGCAATGCAGCAGAAATAATATTTTTATAAATAGAATGATACAGAATTTGACTAAGATATTAGAAATATGTTTGTCATGCGTGATGTTAAATACTTCAACTTATTCAGTATATGTGTTGGGTAATATTGGAAAAAAAAATACTTAAATAGTTTTTTCTTAAAATATTAATTTCTGGTAATGAAATTTTACAGTTTCCTTATACACATATGTTTGTGATGTTTCAAATAGATTTACACATGACAAATTTTCCGGTTTCCTGTTTTTACAAATTTTTATTTATGATGTTCCATCGATTAACATTCAAAAACAATTCAGGTTTCCTGAATTCAGAGATTTTATGATAAAAATGTTAGATTTTGTCTCATTATATTCATTACTAGTCAATTCATTTGGTTAATTTCCTTATGCAATTATGTTTGGGATCTTTTAAATAATTTTACATTTGACAAATTTTCAAGTTTCATAATTTTAGAGATTTTATGAAATAAATCTTAGTTTTTTTTGTCTCAACATACTAATTTCTAGTCAAGAAATTTGGTGAATTAATTTCTACAAACAATCACGTGTGTAATGTTTAAAAAAGAGTTTCATTGTAATAAAAGAGGTTCGTTATTCATGATATAACTATTATGATTTTTTTTAATTAAAAAACGATAATGTTATCCCAAAATCAGCGATTCCACCACTATAATCTTCGCAGACTATTAATATGATGCCATTTTGGACGCAAAAACAATCAAGGAGTTTTTGATGCATTTTAAAGCAAGCTTTTGACTAAGATATCAGAAATATGTTTTTATGAGTGAATTTAAATATTTCAACTTATTCAGTATATATTTTTGGTAAAATTAATAAAAATCCTTAAAGTAATAGTTTTTAGCTCAAAATACTAATTTCTGGTAATGAATCTTTACAGTTTCCTAATACAAATAAGTTTGTGATGTTTCATGCAAATAGATTTTACATTTGACAAATGTTCCAGTTTCACGTTTTTAGAAATTTTAATTTGTAATCTTTTAAATAGATTAACATAAAAAAAAATCAGGTTTCCTGAATTCAGAGATTTCATGATAAAATCATAGGTTTTGTCTCATTATACTAATTTCTTGTCAATTCATTTTGCTAATTTCCTTAAACAACCGTGTTTGTGATCTTTCGAATAGATTTAAATTTCACAAATTTTCAGGTTTCATGAATTTTTAGAGATTTCAGAAAACAAAACCATCAGAACAGAAACCTTTATGAAACATGTGCTATGAAAGTATCGAACACAAATGATATATTGAAATATTTTGAAAGACACCTTTGAAGAAAGAAACAATAATTAAGCATAAGAATATAGCTTATAGTTAGACGATTTTTAAAACATGTTTAACGGTCGATGGAACATCTTTAATTTAAAATTTGATTATCTGAGTAAAAACTAAAACAAATTAAAATATTATATTGCACAAGTAAATATGCATAATACGACTGTTTGATTTATGCGAGAGATTCGCAAGACGCTTTTTAGTAAAATTGCATTACAAAGAAGTCGTTGAAAAAAGAAGGATATATTTACATCATAATACCTGACAGTACTGATGGGTTCAAATACATTTTAAATCAAGCACTACATAAAACTTGAAAGACTGAGGAACACGAACTCCACACAAAACTGGGCGTGATTTCAGGTTCTCAGGAAGGGTAAATACATCCTGTTCCTCGTCAAATGTTATGAACGACTTAAGTCTAAACATGTAAGCGTGAATATATAATTGCAGGATAAAACCCTATATCTATGAAGTCAAAAAATATATATTTTGGTTTTACTCCATATAAAGCAAGAAAAGGAATCAGAGAGTCTGATTGTTCCTTCTGTTCCTTGTCTTACAGTAATTTGCATATTTTCCAACAATGTAACTATGCATTTGTTATATAACAGTAATGCGAACAATTTTTCGAATTTCCAATTTCTAAACTTCAATTAATCGTTGCGTCAATCTGTAAAACACCTTATGCAATAGTAACGTTAGGACTGTCGTTCTTCATCGAAAGGTTGGCATGGACGAATATATTCCACTCTTCCTCGATATACTCTTATGAAACATTATTGTAAAAGAAATTGTCACATTATGTACATTCTAATGAATTAACAATGAAAAAAGACGAGAGCAGGTTGGTAATCACCAATTTTATCTAATAATAATACGCAACCATAGCCAAACCAATAAACTAAGATACACAAATGCCATAGAATTGCAGATGCTCAAACATTATTCATGGTTGCAAAATTTGATATTGTTATGTGTATAAACCAAAATTGTGGATTGTTTCTTATAATTTCAGCATTTTAATTTAAATGGCAACAGCACAACCATCATGCGATATTTCCCTTAACCTGCACGTGACTAAATCTTCCAGCGTTTGGTGTTCCGAATGTGAAGAAGCGATATGTCAAGACTGCGAACAAAGACAGAAAGCGACTAAAAATCACAAGACAATACCAATAGAAGATAATCAAGAATTACAAATGTCTATTACCAACATCAAGCTGGAATGTGAAGATCACAATCGAAAGTTGGATTTCTACGGTTTCATTCACAACGAACCTTGTTGTACGCGTTGTGTTTTAGAAAAACATAAAGACAATTGGTACACCATATCCGGATTTCGACAATTAATGTCTCTTCAGTGATGTTAGGAGTTGAAACGGATTTTGGAAGGCCATATAATTTACCTCAATTTAGGATAGATTCTTCAATTTTGATTTGAAGAGTCGAAATAAGATGAACGGATCATATAAACCCGAAGCCAAATATATTACATGCCCAAACGAAAAAAATAAAAACAAGTCTAAATTGAAATTAACGTTCAAACCTATGTTTGCATGAAAAAAAACCGCAATTTTTATACGTGTGCATGCAAAAAAACATTTCTTCGTAGAGGACTCAGCACAAACAACCTTTTCCAAAAGACCAAAACAGTGAAAAGTTTATTTTAACAAAACGCAGTTGAATAGCACGTCGGACAACGGATGTTCTTAAACCCTGCTGAGTGCCATTGGCGATTGCCAAATAAACGAATCACCAGATGTAACAAAATGGATCTTAACTATTAATTTTGTACCAAACAGAAAACAATAAACTTGCGGAAAAGATGGTATATCGCAAACAAAAGGTGCAAAAATTAGTACAGCATATCCGGATTTCGACAATTAATGTCTCTTCAGTGATGTTAGGAATCGAAACGGTATTTGGAAGGCCATATAATTTACCTCAATATAGGATTGACTCTTGAATTTTGAACAATAAAAGAAAAACAAATATGAAAGATAGCTACCAAGAGCAACCACTGAATTACAGGCTCCTGACTTGGAATAGACACATACATAATGTGTCATGCCTACACATGCTTAAAACTTAGTAGTGTAACTGCACAACATCAAAACAAGCTGTAACATTTTTTTGTAAAGAGCTTGACTCATTCGATCAACACAAAGCACCAACAAAACTCGTAAAAAGACAAGAGAATAAAGTACCGATCTAAGAGTACTTGCAGCTACTAAAAGCCAATTCAAATTCAATTTCAACTTAAAGCCAGACTACATTTCAGTTTGGTGAACCTGCTTGCAATGTCAATTTCTTTATATTCAGACCACAATCCGGAATGGAAAAAATAAACATTAAAATGTTTAAATTAACCAATCCTTTTGGTCTGTTTATAAAGGGTCTCCTTTGACAGCATAAGGATACAAGTCGTTTCAGGAAGGTTAAACAGTCTAGGGAATAAGCTTAGTCAACTTGTATTTCAATATATTGAAAGTTGTTAGGGTCAATCAACGTCGTTCCACATATTAAAAAGTTTATTCAGTAAATTTATTGTTTCAAGTATGAACCAAAGAAAATGTAAATTGATATACTTATATAGTGTTGGCACAATATATAAAACTTTCACTATATATATATTAAAAGAATGTATCTGAATTTTTCCTTAAGATTTTAAAGTTATACATATTTGTTTGAAAATTTTAAGTGGACCTTGGAAACCAATTTAACTGAAACTGAACTGTATTTTCTGGCAACGACATGATTGTTGTCCTGTCAAGAGAAAGCTAAATTCTTTGATAGTCTATTTCATAATTGTGTTTAAATCCAATACCAACCATCTATAATGATTGACTTTACTATCAAGTGTGTCTTTTAGGGGACAAGCATTGGTTTTCCCACCTTCAGGCCGGGAGCAGGACCATTGCACCCGGCTCTCACCTTCCTCGTTTCGACTTGTCTCAACAATAAACAATTAATCAACCATGTTTCAATTTCACGACATACTACATCACGGTCTGCCTTACCAATTCGTGTAAAAACTATACGCCGGTATAGACTGAGGTAAATCACATTAGTCTTCAAATAAGTTACAATTCTGGTTTTTTGATTATCCATTTAACCAGAGACCTATATAATATATTTCTCCAATTCAACGCATAGTTCAGTGGATCATATAACGATACTGTTATTTTTATAATCACTCAAAAATACTGGCCTTAACATTACAAGTTTATATTAACCACTTTGAAAGTCACGTGTGAATAATCGTATAAATACTATAATGGCCTGCGAATAGTATTTCCTTGTTTATTAAGAGAAAAATAATCACAAAAGAGGAAAAAGGAACAAATGAAGAACCGTGTGAGATTGCTTTGATGTGACACATTTAACAACCATCGTTATTTTGTATGTATTATTTTCTTATTTTAAGAATAAACTATCTTAAACTAAATTTTCATATTCTACTTTCGTTTTCTGTAGCATTATATTAAAATTGTACGGTATCAATTTCACAACACTAGGTGCGCATTTCGACAAATTATGCCTTATCAATGATGATCGAGACAAACATAATTGGGAGTCCAAAACCTAATACAAACATAACCGAAAATGATTGTATAGCCATATTTGGAGAACCCCAACCCATTACCTGGTTCAGGATAGTCCAAATAGACTAGGTTCAGGTTAGCTTGGTTTCGGTGTCATAAAAGCATCTTTTTTGGTTTGTTGTCGTCATATCAAAACTGAGAGAAGAATGGGTTGATTTTGCTATAGAATTGCGATCAACTGCGTTTGTTGAAATAGTCGAGCGTTTGATAACTGTTTTATGGACTTCCTCTTTTTCAATTGACCCAAGGACGTATATTAGTTATAAATCATTGATTTAACTTACCAAAACAAAGGTAAAATTTCAGATATCATACCAAAATCGTCTTCAAAAGTAATGTTTTCTGTTGATTGATTGATTGTTGGCAGCCAAATTTCCACTGGCAAATATTTCATGCATGAGAAAAAATTAACAATACATTGAATAGGTAGGTCCTGTAATAGAGTCCGTCCGGGTGAATGTGTGGAATATTAAGACTGCCACTAGAAAATGAGGGTACGATATATAGGATGTAGACAGAAATTGTGCTTTGCAACAGTCCACCTATTACCGTACCCATCAAACAGTTGTTACAAGGGTTCTTAACGTGCATAGAGCGTGGCACTCTCTCTACACGAGGAATCTCAGGTGCTCCGGAAGGGTAAGCGTTTGATTAGTTATATTCATAAAAACGAGCCAGGAATGGTGAGTTACATTACGGTAAAATAACTACTAATGTTGTATCAAAAAATAAACACACATACATTATCATTGTTTTTGAATATCTGTCGGGTCATAGGAGATATCAGTTATGTAGAATGCATTTTGTAAGCGAGATTACTCTTGAAATCGTAGAATCTGCATAAGATTAAAGAATAAATATCTCATGAGAACAGCGAAATTTCAAAAAAATCATTACATGTTATTTTTTCAATTTTTCAAATAACTATGACGAACCATAAACTATCTGAGTTTTTTTTTTACCATGTTTCACCATTATAATGGTTCCTGTCTGGGTTACAGAAATAACTGTGCCGAAGGTCACATGACTGTTCTTGTTTTTATATCCGTAGTTCATTTTCAAAATGTATTAGAAATTAATAACGAATGGTTATATATGACATTGATAAAATAGCGCTTGTGCGATTCGGGTGCCTTTGAACTGAGAATACAACCCACTGTCAATGTTTTGCCCTGGACTATGATTAATTTTATGTACAAGTTGTTACATTTTGTATTTTCATTTTAAAACCGCCATACAAACTTTTTCAGAAGAACAATTAAGAAAGTTCTATTTATAAATTTATTCTGCCAATTTTTGAGATATGACTCTCCATTTATTAAGGTTCATCAAAAGGAATGGAAAAATATGGCCATGTTTACACCACAAATTTACTATGAGTACAGACAAACTGATGCATCTAGGAAAGTTTTAAGGCATGATAGTACCTAGATATATAAAAGTTATATGTAGTCTATGTTTTAGAAAATTAAAAACTTACCTGGATTCTGATGTGCATTTTTTCCAATCTGCAGAAGATAGCAAAATAAACAAACATATGAGTTTCATTTGAAACGGTCCACTCAGTTACACAGTTTAAATCACCTATTGTTTGCAGATGTCTATTGTCCAACTATTGTCCATTTTAATCAATACTACTCACAACATTTATTATATGAGAGGAGCTTCTCAAACCTCTTTCCAAACTTAGTTTATTTTGGCACCTTCTGCAGGAATGAAAAAAAAATGAATAGCAAAATCCAGAAAAGTCCATAATATTCTGAAACATAAAATAAATTTAAAATTTAATTATCTAGTTCCTGCCATGCCTTAAAACTTTTCCAGGAGCACAGGTTTGTCTGTACTCAGAGTAAAATTCGTGGTGTAAATACGGCCATATTAGCCTAAAGGTTATGAGGAACCTTGATATAATCCTTTTCCAACACTTTTGTCTTAAAGCTAAGTTCCAGGAGTTCAAATATATCATAGCAATACATTAGGGCGTTTTACTTTGATTCAAAATGATATTAAATCTGGAAAGATATTTCATTATTTGTTTTGCTAAGCACTAAGTTTCAAAATACCATTGAAAGCTACTTAACTGATTACAGACTAGTATTTGCGGTTGTGTTATTTACACTCATTCTTAAAACAGGTTATAGACAATACCTGATCTATGAACATTTAAAGCCACAAGAGAAGCCGATGATTTTAAATATTCATTAAACATTATTAAGTTTGTCTAACAAATTGAAAATATATACACAACTTACGTCCATTGACAATAACAATTTTATCCAGTTCCATTGCAATAATTCTTATTAATGTAACGACATATACTTTATGAATTGTTTATAAACGAAATTTTAGTTTTAATTGAAGGTTATTTATATATGACCGCAAAAATTCAAGTTTTTGCGGTCGTATAATGTTATGACGTTGTTAGCATCGTCGTCGTCGTCGGAAGACATTTGGTTTCCAGACAATAACTTGAGTACAAGTGTATTGATCTCTATGAAATTTTACCTCATATTTCCATACCTCAAAAGGAAAGTTGGAATTGCTTTTGGGGGTCATAACCCAAACCGTTTAGGAATAAAGGGCCAAAAAAGGGAGAGAAAATTCTTTGGATTTCTATGAAATTGTACCACAAGGTTTCATACCAAAACAGGAAGATTGGGATTAATTTTGGGGGTTATGGTCCTGAATGTTTAGGAAAAAGGGGCAAAAAAAAAACTTTTGTAATACTTCGTATACATTGCTTATTTCTTGACCAATTTCAATGGGGTTTAATTCAAAGTCTTGAAATCTTAGAGTCATTTAATATGCTGAATCTAACATGTATTTAGATTTTGTTTTTGGACAGTATTATTAACTTGGTTCACATTCATTGACATTGAGGTCCAAAGGGTCCAAAACTTAACTTTGTTTGATTTCAACAAAAATTGAATTCTTGGTGTTCGTTGATATGCTGAATCTAACCGTGTATTTAGATTTTTTATTTTGAACCCGGTTTTCAAATTGGTTTACATTAAGTTTCAAAGTGTCCAAAATTAAACTTAGTTTGATTTTAACAAAAAAATTTATTTATTGGGTTCTTCGAAATACTGTATCAAACCATGTATTCAGATTTTTGATTTTGGGCCTCATAATCAAATTGGTCAACAATGCGGTCAAAAGGGTCCACAATTAAACTTCGTGTGATTTCATAAAAAAATGAATTCTTGGGGTCCTTTGATATGCTGAATCTAACCATATATTTAGATTTTTTATATTGGACCATTAAAGGTATATGGCCCAGTGCAAATTTTTTGTTCTGAGGCCACATTCATTCTGTGTCAGAAACCTATGCTATGTAAAATATTGTATCACAATCCAATTTCAGAAATGTGTTGCACAATTAATAGAAATTGAAAGAAGATTCTTAGCGAAAAATTGAAACCGCATCATATTCTAATTTTAGAAATTATGTATAAATATAGTTTGAAATTTACTGTTCATTATTAGATATTTTGAAAAATAAATGTAAGTTTTATAGAGTTTTTAAAGACATTGGATAAGTGATGAATGATATTTTGGAAATTGTTTTTGTAAATATTTTGAAGAACTTCGTGGTAGGTTTGTTTGTTATTTTGTATAAATTAATTAGCAGAATGCTATATATAATTGTTATGAAGCGCACCCCTTTTAAAACTAAGTTAATTTTGTCCATCAATAAATAGATAAATTAAATTCTTCATGTACTTGGATTTGCTGAAACTAACGTGTATTTAGATTTTGGATATTGGACCATAATAGGTAAAATTTAAATTTCAAAATTTTCAGTTCTTTGACCACATTCATTCTGTGTCAAAAATCTATATTGTGTCAAATATTTAATCACAATACAAATTCAGAGCTGTATCAAGCTTGAATGTAGTGTCCATACTTGCCCTAACTGTTTATGGCTCAACCTCAGCGGTTGTATCAAGCTGCGCCCAGAAGAGTATTTTATAGCAGATGGAATGCCATAGCACTAAATGTATTTATAAAACGGGTAAAGTATTTTAAAATGAAATTTATAAAATAGAATATGGATAGGAAAAGAAGGGATTGTATTGCAAAGAAAAATATTGTCCTATGTGAGAATGTTGTCCCTCAAGACAATATTATCCCGCAAAACAATATTGTCCCCCAAGACAATATTATCCCGCAAAACAATATTGTCCACCAAGACAATATTTCACGATTTTGTATCATGAAATTATGTCCCCATCTATAGAATAATGTCCACAGAAGGACAAAATTCCATATGAAATTTTGTCCATGTACAGACAATATTTCATAGATGGATAGCGTGAAATTTTGTCTTGTTAAAGGGATGTTATCCGATATTATATATTGTGTATATTGAGACTATATTTCATAGATGGGTTGTCATGAAATTTTGTCTCATGAAAGGGAGGTTATAAACATCTAATATTTTGGATAATGATATCATTAAAGTATGGCAAGCCGTTTCACTATTTATTCTAACATCAAGATATCTAACAAAATTTATAAGATATCTCATTTAATTTATTATTATTTTAACCATATAAGATATCTTATAAACTATATAAGATATCTTATATAAAAAAATATTTATAAATTATTTTATAAATTATATCAGATATCTTATAAACTATATGAGATATCTTATATACTATATACTCATAAAATATATAAGATATCTTATATAATCTAGTTTTTATAAAATATCTTACATACTTTGTAAGATATCTTATAAACTTTATAAGATATCCTATATACTTTATAAGATATCTTCTTAAGTATATAAGATATCTTATTAAGTTTAAGAGATATCTTCTTAAATATGTAAGATATCTTATTAAGTTTATAAGATATCTTATAAAGTTTATAAGCTATCTTAGAATTTGTAAAAGTAAAGTCTTCATTTCACTAAGATATTTATAAAAAGTTTGAAAATTAGTTATTGCACTTGTACAGATGAAATATGTGCAACGCGGGGGACATTCGAATTCTTTTCTTTTATCACATTTCATTGGTCAATGTTAAGTTTTTATGGTTAAGTCCGTTTCTCGGATACCTTAAGAAATAATTCAACTTAATGTAGTTGTATGATGTTATAAAGGTGAACATGTCTGTCCGGTATGTATCATTTGACCTTGACCTCATATTCAATGTGTAAAGTTTTTTTCGTTTCGTCCGTTTTTTCGATACTGTTAGCAATAGATTACATAAAATGTAACTATATTTAGTGTATGGCAAAATTATAAGGTGTACATGTCAGTTTGTCAGAGCTCATTAACTTGGCTCATTAAAATGTTAAGTTTATGTGATATTTGTAATAAAACCTCTGTCATTATGACTCTCTACATAAATTCAACCAGAAAAGTAGCCGAGACATTTCAGCATGTGAACTTATATGTTGAATGATTGTATGTCTGTAATTTTTTTCATAACCATGTACCTTCTTTTATCGTTTTGTTATGGCTAAATCATTACACTGAAAACTACAGATTAATTAATCCAATCTCAAAAAGATCGGAGTGAACCCAAGTGCTGCGTTAAAGGTACGCATCATTTGCTTCTCTACTGACATCATTTGTATTGTGCATAGTATAAAATAGAATTATTGTTGTTTAATATACTTATAAAATATAGTTATGCAAATTTTATACAAATTTCAGTATTAAAATGGCAACAAAATATCCAACGTGCGATATTTGCCTGAACCTGCATGTTACAAAATCTGCCAGCGTTTGGTGTTCCGAATGTGAAGAGGCGATATGTAAAGATTGCGAACCAAGACATCGGACACAGAAAGCGACAAAAAACCACAAGACAATAGCAATTGAAAATTATCAAGAATTACCACTATATATTGCCGACATCAAGCTGGAATGTGAAGATCATAGTCAAAAGCTGGATTTTTACTGTTCTGTTCATAGCGAACCTTGCTGTACACGATGTATTTCAGAAAACCACAAAGACTGCCGCGAACTAAAACCATTACCGGAAGTAGTTGACGGAGTGAAGTCGTCTGCAGCGTTCGTCGATTTAGAGGACAGAGTGAAAGACTTGAGTCAAGTTATAAGCCAAATAATTCAAGAAAAATTAGACAATAAATCGAATTTAAAAGGTCAAAGAAAGACAATTATTAACGAGGTTGAACGTGTCCGAAAAACAATAAACACACATTTAGACACAATACAAGATGCACTGCTGAATACGCTTGGGGCAAATGAAAGACGACAAGGAGATGGCATCGATCGCCTAGTTGAAAAACTCGGAAAAATGAAAGCAAATGTTGATGAAATAGCGAATGGTTTGGAGAAAACGAAGAACCATGCGTCCAATTTTCAGACTTTTCTTGGTGTAAATAAATGGATCCGAGAGATTGAAAATCAAGAGAGGGAAGTAAGATCAGCTCAAAGTGACCAGAGTATGGCTAATGTTGGTATACAAATAGAAATGAATCCATTGCTAGATACGTTAGAAACAGATATATCCGAGTTTGGGAAGTTGGAGGTTATTTTTTTACAACCGCCGAAACTTGTTTTATGGAAAGAACAACAAGGACAAGCGCTATTTTTCCCATCGTCGCAGTTTATTAGAAGAATTAAACTTTCCACAAATCGTTCATTTGACATACCGAAGGGTGAGTCAGAATGCACGATAACAGGATGTGTAATGTTTGAGGACGGACGTATTGTATTTTGCGATTGTAATGAAGTAAACAAAAGACTTATTGTAATGAATGAAGATTGTTCTTTAAACAAAGAGATAAAATTTGAAGATAGACCGTTAGACCTTACTATAGTAGACCCAAATACAGTAGCGTTCACAGTGCTTGAAAAGAAACTTATTATTATGGTAGACGTAAACACATCCAAGATAAAACAGACAATACTTCTAAATGGAAACTGTTATGGGATTTGTTGTATAGAAGAAAAACTCGTCGTTTGTGTCAGTGGCAAAAAAATATTAATCGTAGATTTATCTGGCAATGTCTTATCGACCGTATTACAAACGAATGCTGCAACATACTGTTCAGTAATGAACGACAAGATTTATTATGCAGCACACTCACATGATGTTGTATACTGTTCTGATTTGAATGGAAGCGCTAAGTGGAAATTCAATTGTGAAACATTAGACTATCCATTTGGTATAACAAACGCTGCATATGGAGATATTTTCGTGACATGTAGGAACGCCAATAAGGTCATTGTGATTGAATCTGATGGGAATGAGTCTAGACTGTTGCTTACCAGGGAGGATGGGTTACAACACCCAAGGGCAATCCATTACAACCATAAAAGAGACATGCTACTTGTCTGTAATGAATCAGGACAATGTTTCATGTACAAAATTACAAACTAACTCATGACAGCAGCTATTAAATCTTCCGAAAAAGAAATATCGACTGTTGTGAATAAACGCTGATTGACAGTAAGGCAGTATATTTGAAACTTAACTTCATATAGATATGAATGTATTGGATATTTGATGCATACATTTGATATGTACCTGCTGCCTCATTAAAACAGCATCACAACGAAAAATAGAAATAAATCTAGAAGACGACCTACGATTTTCAACAATAGCACCACTGTAAATTATAAAAAAAAAACAGCCCTCTCGTCGACCCATATTAAAGGAAAAAAACACAATAAATTACAGTTCACCCTTTAGCTACCAAGGAAAATCTAAATAAAACTGTATTTTACTGATGTTTCTGTAATAAATTGTCTAGGTACTCTAGAGGTCAATAGCTTCATATACCCATATTTTCTAACATAAGGAACAATAAACAATGACAATACAGAAGTTCATTAGTCAATGTTATTTTTCACACTGATGTCCGTTTATCAGATACTATGGTCAAAAAGTCACCCTTATTATGAAGTGTATATGTCTGTCTGAAAAGGTTCCTTTGATCTTAGTTTCTTTACGTTGTATATTGGTCAACCTTATGATTAAGTGGTCAGGTTCATTCCTCGATTTTGCAAATGTATATACATGTGCATGTAATTAGTGTGTGTAATAATTGTTTGATGAACATGACTTTTTTTTCATTGTTCATTAATTCATTGTTGTCGTGGTTATGTCCGCTTCTTATACTATAAGCTATTGGTCAACAAAAACAACTATGTTCTAATGAACCATGAAAGTAAGGTCAAATACAAATGAACCCTGCTACCCTGACATGTACACCTCACAAATGTTTCATGCAACAAATATAGTTGATTTATTACTTATGATACCTACGAAACGGATTTTACGACATAAAACATAACGTTTATATACCTAACTTACAAGAAAGAAAGCATCAGTATGCAAGATGTGAAATATCGATTTATACTTTTCGAAATATAAAGTTTAAAACAAAAAAAGTCCTGTTTCCCAATTCAAATAAATAAATAGTGATCAGAGAATGGGATTGAGAAATGAAATACCAGGTCGTTGATGTTAACATGATTTCAAAAATGAAAACAACACTTTAAAAGTTTAATGCGTCCGACGCGCTTTTCTGGATTTACCTTCATCAGGAAGATCAATATTTGAAAGCTTATGATGTGTGAGAAACCGAAACAGATTCAATTAAGTTTATTAATACTGTTATTGTCCAAGAATTGCAAATGCTGTCAATCAAAACAATACACAGAAAACTAAGATTGAGCATAACAAACCTGACAAAACACAGTGGTTGACCTCGGGTAATCATTTACTGTAAGCATTTAATGACACCCTTCATGTGGTTTATTTTGATAAGGCACTCGGTAATAAGCAAAGACAACGAGGTTGTGATTTAAGCAAATAAACAAATTCCTGGTGAATTGTGATATTTCATAATAGTCAACCAAATCATATTGTCGTCCATAACACCGTTACGAGATGATTTCAACTTCACCATTAAGAACCCATAGTTCAAGTGTTTCGTACAAGCAACAAACTTCTACGAAAAAAAGATATATTCACGATATACAGGTGCTACTGAATTATTGCTACATAGAAATAAAAGTTCCCATTTGGAAAATTGAAATAACCTCTTTATTATAGATAGATCTACATTGGCCCTCATGAATGAAATAAGAAGATTTCGGTTAATTGCCAATGAGACAACTTTGCACTGGAGACCACATAACGTAAACCTTAGCAAATACAGATCACCGTACGACCTTCAACAATAGGCAAAGCCCAAACCGAGTAGCAATCTATAAAAAGTGCCGACGTTTCAAACGAAAAAACTATTGGTCTGCCGTTTGTACAAAACAACAAACGAAAAACAAATATGATAAACACCAACAAACGATAGACTGGCACATACAGAATGTAGCGGAATTCAACATGTTTGCCGGCGTACAACCCTTCCCTTACCTGGGATAGTTGTGTTTCAGCACAACGTAAGAACAAACTATAAAAATCAGTTTTTCTGCCTCACATCTTGACTTACATCTAAAATTGACAATTAGGGTCGGTTGAGAACAAAAAGAGATGATTTAATCTTCCCAATTGTTAACTTTCCATTTCCATTTCTATGCAACGCATCAATATGGACATGTATCTCCTAGTTGATACGATATTCCAGGGCTTGCGTTTCCTATCATGATTTATTTGATAGAGGGTTGCTGCTCACAAAGAAGCTATTAGACCAAGCGTGGTGAAGTCGAAATCACTCCTTCAAAATTTTTTCGGACGCCATCACAAGTTGGTTGACCGTTATGGAATATCTGTTTCACAAATGACCACGAATATGTCCCAAGTAAGCAAGACAACGTGTGACATCTGTGGAACAGGATCTGCTTGCCCTTTTGAACACATGGGATCACTTTTGTTTCTTCATAGGTATTGTCTTGCACAGTCTTTATGTATAGTTGTAAGTAGAAGCTTGTTTATTTCGTATGTTTCTGTTTTTAGCAATGATATTGTTTGGTTTTTTGTACGGCTTATGATTGTTGTTATCCCTGCGGTGTCCTGAGCCTCTGTTTATGTGACAATTTCAACAAGGGCTTTGATATTTCGTCTAGTTGGGATGATTAAAAAGTGTTGATAACCGGCAATATTAAAATCCAAGGTCATTACTAACATACAAATGACGCCAATGCTGCTTACATGTAATAGACTAAGTTAATGCATTATGTTAAAATTAATACGCTTGATAAAATTATTCTTCACTGCATGGTTTTATTATGTTTTTTAGCACCAGATATGACTGCTGCGAATAAGACTTATCGATAAGCACAAAGGAATTTTAAACTTAACATATATATATATTATAAACGGAGAAGTTCAGTATTAATCAATGAAACAGCACCTAACAATATCCATAAGTCTGCAGCGATAACATAAGGTTTTTAGCATTAACACTCATTTAAATAACGTAGATAAGAAAGAATCGAAAGATTCCAGCGAGATATTCAAAATGCATGAATCAAAGACAACGCCATACCAAAAAATATAAATGACAAAAAGACAAACAACATTCTACAAACACTACACATAATCTGATCTAATGTGCTCTTAGAAGGCTGTAAAGAATCATGTAACACCTGTCGTGTTGCTCATGATTAGTACAAATCCTTCTCGTTTGTTGATGTCAAAATCAAGGAAGAAAGGTTACGACCATTGGGACATATCCGTGGTTATCTGTGACATAGATATTCGATAAAAAATAAAAGAAAAGAAAAGAATCTGAATTAAAACAAAACACTAAATAAATAAATAAATAATCAAGTTGAAACCGATGTAAATACCATTTGTCGAGCACTACATTGCCATGAGACAAAACCGAGGAAAAAAGTTCTCGTAGAGGGAAGCTGCAAATACAATTAACAAAGATTGCAACATTTATACCACGGACAATAAGTTTCGTTAATTGCAAATAAGAGATACGAATAAAAGGAAATATGAAGAATGTCAATGAGACAATAACCAAACGACTGAAAGAAAAAAAAAGAGGTTTTAAGAGATTTTTTTACCTAAATACTATTGTCTATACATAATGTTTAGCTTTTCATTTCTCAAAATTGGACAGAATTGTTAATAAATATAAAGAGGCATGAGTTACGATTTTGATCTTATCGGTTAAAAATATTGAAATAAAATTTTTATCTCTTTTAATGTCCGAGAATGGTATATTGAATAAGTATTCGTATTCGCAATCACTTTGTTTTAATTTAGTAAAAATAAAACCCTAAACACCAGTAACAAACTATAACATCAATAAATTACAAAACAATAGTTCGACCTTATTTAGTTCCAAACGCATGCAAATGATGTGTCTTTTGTTAGAGATCATTGCCAATGTGCACAGCACGTTCGGACTCTGAAAAGAATTTTTATTAAAAACAAAATAAGATAAACGATCCAACAGGCGAGGACGACCAATATTCTGATTTGACCTGCTCTAAAGAATATTTGTATGTATTCCATATAATAACCTTTCCATTATCGCTTGGCGGCGAAGGGTATTAACAGTATATTTTTGAATTTTATTTGTTACCCGTGTTACCGTTGACGGGTTAATTCCGGATTTTCTTGCTTTTTCGGCTCTAGTTATTTAATGACTGTCTTTTAAATCAGACAAACACTTGTGACAAGAATTCGTTCAAATGATAAATACGTATGTATCAATAAGTCATGTTTTGCTCTTAAATACATTTTTTTTTTCAAATTTGCTTGCATAATCCTGAAACACTAAATAAAATCTACAAATTCATACATAAACTTGCTTAAACACAGCTTAGATAGTCAGAAACAATGTGACAAAAACATGAAATTGGCCTTTGATTTTTCATTTTATGTTTTTCGGTGCGACAGTTCTATTTCTATGTACCATAGGCATTTCATATGAAATGGATATCAAGAGTTACCTCCCGTACGCCACAAATGTACTTCTTCCATAACAAAAAACAATCAAGTGGCATACATGAAGTCAATGATATATCACATATATAAATTGAATCCTGGGGGAAAAAATTTCTTTTTAGAACTTGCATTGGTTATTCAAAACATTATTGTGACCAATTATTCGACATTAATGCACGTACACCCTGTCTTTTGAACACGTTAAAACGTGTGCATGGTTAATGTCAGCCGCATCTATATCAAACACGTGACAAGGTTCAATGCTTACTACAAAAACAACGCCGCATCTCAATTTGTATACAAGATGAGTTGAACACATGATAATTTGGGTTTTGTTTTGCAAATGTTAATTTCTATATATTAAAAGAAGGAAATTCGAAACCAATCCAAAAACAAATAAAAGAGAACTTAGTATACTATACATGCAATCATTGGTTTAATAATTTCTTTAATATAATAATCACTAGAAACTCGTTTCCTAAGTCTTTTATATTAAAACGAAATCCGGTAAAATATATCTTAACATCTGACGTTAACGGTTTTGAATTTCTGGTGAATTTATTGCAACATGTGCAGTCTTAGCAGTCTTAGCCAATAAAGGGTCTAAAATTCATTGACTTATTGTTCGTCGTGACAAGGGCAGAATATTACATGCATAATCAGGACGTAACTTGTTAATATGATATGAATATAGACTACTAGACACGTATGTTGTGTAGTATTTTAACAATGCTATCTCACAAAGTAATTATCCACATTGTCACAGGTTCGCATATCATCCAAACTTTCCATATTTTCCCTGATGTTGATCCTTACCAACCAGTCTTTCTTGTAAAATTACGGAATTGTAAAATATTTAATATTTTGTTTCATTTTTGAATAAGATACTCGTTGATTGTTAATAAGTGCGGTTTGAATAAATTATATGTTATTATACTTTTAAAGCTACTTGAACATGAACCAATAACTTGAATATTTTCGATTTAAAAGCATGTAGTGAGTGGTCTTGTCTATAGTAAATAAACAAAATGAGATGTCGGATAAACAGCAAGCCTACGACTGAAATAACAAAAAAAAAACATCTTGATAGGAAATGCTTTATTCTTTAAAAGACACGTGTCTAGACGATATATCAAACTTTAAATAATCAACAGGTTGTGGAAGTTGTGAATATGAAACAGAAATAGTCCTGCAAACAACGGGAAAATAATTTAGATTTGACCGCAGAAAAATTACTGATGAATATTTTTACGTTAGACAGGCACATTAAAATGTGACAAGTTAAAACGAGTTATTTTTTTTGTACATCTCAAGCCATCAATTTTAAACTCTCGAACAGTAAATAACAATACGTGCATGAATGAACATACTGTAGAACCAAATACAGACAAAAAAGAATTATGTTCAACATAAATTAAAAAAAAAATGAAAAAAAAAAAATACTTTATACTGTTTTAAAGATTTTCGGCGTTACTGAATGAAAGCTCGACTTATTTTACCTGCTGATAAAGAATTATATCATCCTTCACTTGATAACATTTGCTGTTTTTTACAGTAGATGAACATAATACTGATACATGTCTGCATCCGGAGCGTTTGTCTGGATTTTACTCTTGTTCAAAGTAATCGCATGGTTTTCATGATGTATATTCTGTGCAAAGTGAGAATAATACTAATACTATAATTATCTTCAGACCGTTCGAAGTGCTTTTTATAAATTCACCTTTATAAAAACTTTCGAATCGAAAGCCAAGGATGTATATTCACCTGAAGTCCCGAGGAACTATATGACCGAAAAGGACCTTGAAAGAATCGCCGAATTCATCTAGAGTCAACTTAGTCTGAGGGAGTTGGCAGCTTATTTTCTTGATAATGTTATAATTTGTCAACGGATAATGATTTAGTCATAGATCAAAGTCCTCAGCAATAGTTCCTAAGATGTGATCTTGAAAAATGCCCCCTGAACAGAAAAAGAAAAGAAACGTTTTAATTTGGCTTCAGACTATATTTATTTTTTCCTGGTGAATTATTTGGTTTCCACAACCTTCAATTTAAATATGAGTCCGCTTACCGTAATCATAGTATTGTGTCATAAACCTAGACCACTGTTAACATTTTTAACGATTTTAAGATTTTTACACGTTCAAATTTCAGGTTTATCACGGGAGAGGTTTGTGTATTTTATTGAAGAATTAAAAATTTCGTTTTCTAGGGGGAAAAGAAGTCCGCTGCGACCTTTTGAAGTCATCATTGACATGCAAAAGTCACAATTTCGCCACGCATTTCAGGATAGACCAACCAAATAAATGCATTTATCATGTTTATTGTATCACTAAATCATATCAAATCCTGTACAGTGTGATACGAAATATAAATCTTGATGAGGGGTAAAGATAACAGTCTGTAACCATTGAAGTATTTTTAAAGCGCAGGAGATAACGGAACACGGATGCTGAGTGTATAGTTTGCAGTGATGAGACATATTTGACAACCCCTTTGTACAAAGTATGTATTACGTTGATTTATTTTAAGCAATAATTCTTATTAACTGTTTGACAATACTTTTGTTTTTAGAAATATCATTTATCACAGGATAGATATGTTGTTTCCTACGATCCGTTTCCTTCAAAGTTTATAATCTTCTTAGTCTTGAATGATGTTGAGGTCTCTTGTTATATGATGGACATAGGACATATGTATATCTTGATATTTTTCTGTCTATAATATTGAAGGAAAATTATTTTTTTCTTTATTTACGTCTGGTTCAATAGAGTTAAATGAAAAAATAATTCAGTTTGCGTCTTTGTATAGGAAATACGCAAGACGCTTTTAAGAGCTCATGTTTGACAGATTGTGCACTGAATGGTGGGTTATGCATTTTACAAACTTTAGACTAGTAGAATCAAAGAGATCAGCAGCAATGATATTTTTTATAAATAGAATGCTACATCGAATTTGTTTTTCAGTTTTTGATGCACTTTATTTTTAAAGACAGCTTTTGACTAAGATATTAGAAATATGTTTGTCATGAGTGATTTTAAATACTTCAACTTATTCAGTATATGTGTTGGGTAATATTAATATAACCCATCCTTAAGGTAATAGCGTTTGGCTCAAAATACTAATTTCTGGTAATGAAATTTTACAGTTCCCTTATACAAATAAGTTTGTGATGTTTCAAATAGATTTACATTTGACAAATTTTCCGGTTTCCTGTTTTTTTGAGAAATTTTAATTTGTGATCTTTCAAATAGATTAACATAAAAAAGGCATGTTTCCTGAATTCAGAGATTTTATGATAAAAATCTTAGATTTTGTTTCATTATACTAATTTCTGGTGAAATGATTTTGCTTATTTCCTTAAACAATCATTTTTGGGATCTTTCAAATAGATTTACATTTCACAAATTTTCAGGTTTCATGAATTTTTTGAGATTTAAGAAAAAATAAAACCAAAAGAACAGAAACCATTATGAAACCTGTGCTATTAAAAGCATCAAGCACAAATGATATACTGAAAGACACCTTTGAAGAAAGAAACAATAATTAAACATAAGAAGATAGCATATAGTTGGGACTTTGACGATTATTAAAGCATGTGTAACGGTCGATGGAACATCTTTAATTCAATGTTTGATTATCTGATTCAAAATTAAAACAAATTTAAGATTAATATTATATTGCACTAGTAGATATTCATTATACCTATGTCTGATTTTGGTGAGAGATTCGCAAGCCGCTTTTTAGTAAATTGCATTACAAAGAAGTCGTTAAAAAAAGAAAAATAGATTTATTTATAATACCTGGCAGTACTGATGAATTCAAATGCATTCTAGATTTAAACACTACATAAACACTAAAGACTGAGGAAAACCAACCCCACCAAAAACTGGACGTGATCTTAGGTTCTCCGGAAGTGTAAATAAATCATGTTCCTCGTCAAAGTTTCGTTATGAACGACTTACGTCTAAACATGTAAGCGTGAATATATATATGCAGGATAAAACAGTATATTTATGAAGTCAAAAAATATATAATTTGTTTAATCCATATAGTACAAGAAGCACAATCAGCGAGTCTCACTTTTCCTATCTGTTTCTTATCTTACAATAAATTGTATATCTTCCAACAATGTATGCATATTTCATATAACAATAATGCGCACATATTTTCGAATTTCGAATTTCTAATCTAAAATTAATCGTTGCGCCAATCTGTAAGACACCTTATGCAATAGTAACGTTAGGACTGTCGTTCTTCATCTAAAGGGTAACATGGACGAATATATTCCACTCTTCCTAAATATGTTCTAATGAAACATGTTGAGCGAGTGAATAAAACAACATAAAGGAGAGAGAACAAAATTCATATATATTTGTGTTGTTGTTTAATGTAAAAGAAGTTGTCATATTATGTACATTCTAATGAATTAACAATGGAAAAAGACAAGAGCAAGTTCAACTTGGTAATCTCCAATTTTATCTAATAATGATACGCAATCATGGCCAAACCAATAAACTAAGAAACACAAATGCCATATAAATCCTCAATCATTATTTATTGTTGCATAATTTAATAGTATTATGTGTATAAACCAAAATTGTGGATTGTTTCTTATAATTTCAGTATCTTTTTTAAAAATGGCAACAGCACAACCATCATGCGATATTTGTCTTAACCTGCACGTGACAAAATCTGCCAGCGTGTGGTGTTCCGAGTGTGAAGAAGCAATATGTGAAGACTGCTAACGAAGGCATCGCGTACAGAAAGCGACTAAAAATCAGAGGACAATGCCAATAGAAGATTATCAAGAGTTACCACTATATATTACCAACATCAAGCTGGAATGTGAAGATCACAATCAAAAGTTAGATTTCTACTGTTCCATTCACAACGAACCTTGTTGTATGCGTTGTGTTTCGGAAAAACACAAAGACTGTCGGGAACTTAAACCATTGCCGGAAGTAGTCGAAGGAGTCAAGTCGTCTGCAGCGTTCTGTGATTTAGAGGACAGAGTAAAAGATTTGAGACAAGTGATTGATCAAATGATTAAAGAAAAATTAGACAACAAATCGAATTTAGAGATTCAGAAGAAAGCGATCATTGCCGAGGTTGAACATGTCCGAAAAGCAATAAACAAACATTTAGACACAATACAAGCTGAAATACTGAAAACGCTAGGGGTGGACGTAGGACGACAAGCAGATACTATTGTTTGCTTGGTTGGAAAACTCGGAAAACTGAAACAAAATGTTGATGAAATAGCGACGGCTTTGAAGAAAGCAAAGCACCATGCATCCAATTTTCAGACTTTTCTTTGCGTTTATAATTGGAACCGAAAGATTGATACCCAAGAGAGAAAACTGAAGTTAATTCAAAGTGACACGGGTATGGCGAATATTTTTCTTCAAATCAAAATGCATCCATTTTTAGATTGGTTAGAAAGAGACCTATCCGAGTTCGGGAAGTTAGAGGTAAGCTTTTCCCCACCGATGAAACTTGTTTTACGGAAGGATAAACAAGGCCAACAGCTGTTGGTCCCGTCGCCACATTCTATAAGTAAAATAAAACTGTCTAAACATTGTTCGTTTCATATATCAAAGGAGAAATCAGAATGCCTGATAACAGGATGTGATATGTTTGAGGACGGACGAATCGTAGTTGCCTATTGTAGCAATGTAAAGAAAAGACTTGTTGTTATGAATTGTGAAGGTGCTTTTGTCAATAAAATAAAACTTGCGAACAGACCGTTTGATGTTACAGTAATAGACCCAAACACAGTAGCTGTAACATTGTTTGTAATAAAGAACATTTGTACAGTAGACGTTAACTCTTCCAAGATATTACGGACAATAAGAGTAAATGAGAACTGTTACGGGATATGTTTTGTGGATGGAAAACTCGTCGTCAGTTTGGCAAACCACGTTTTGCAATTCGTTGATCTGTCTGGTAATGTCTTGTCGAACGTACCAAAAATAGATAATGCATCTTACTGTTCAGTGATGAAGAACAAAATGTATTATGCGCACAAGATAATGATGTTATATACTGTTGCGATATGAATGGAAGCGTTCAGTGGAAATTCAGTTGTGCAAAATCCTATTTCCCAAACGGTATATCAAATGATGCATCTGGAAATGTTTTCGTGACATGTAGAGATGTCAACAAGGTCATTGTGATTGAATCTAGTGGGACAAAGATGAAGGAGCTGCTTACCAGTGATGCTGAGCTAAAACGGCCGATAGCAATCAATTACAATCGGCAATCTAACATACTTCTTATTTGTAATATATATGGACAATGCTTTATATACAAAATCACAAATTGAAATAGTTCATCGCAGTAGTGAAATTTTAGAATCCTTCGATAAAAGATATCTCGAATTTTGTGAATAACGAGTTTTCCACAGTATAATAACATAAATGAATGCCTAAACTGAGCAGTTATATGTTCCTAATGATAACAATGAATACCTGTTATAAAAAGTTTTTTTTAAATTGCTATTAGAGAGATATTGATATAAAAGTTAGGCCAATGAGACAACTATTCACCAAAGTTCAAATGAAGTGAATGTAAGCAATTATAGGCAACCGTATGTCCTTCAACAATGAGAAAACCCAATACCGTATAGCTGGCTAAAAAGTCCCGACATGAGCCTACAGAAAATACCAAAAGGCTTTCATGTTATTTTTATATTCGAATATGACTAAATTTAAAGATGTGGTATATACATCGATACTTTAACAACTAAACAAAAATTACACATCGAAAGGTCAACATGCACTAGTCGACATTTACCATGTTTTTGTCAATCTCTAAATCAATCCCACATATTCTGATTGGTACGTTGTTTTCAATTTCATTATAGATTTGAAGAAATTGAGATGTTGGGTATACGAAAATGACCCAAGATGATATAAGTGTTTACAAAAAATCGAAAATGAACTATAATCATGCCGATTCTTTAAAGTTATGAAACTTCTGATATCATGATCATATCAATGAAAACATTTCAATAAAACTGACAGCAGTGACTGGACAATGACAAAAAGATATGGCAGTGGTTAAACCACGTTTCTGATTACTAAGTGTTAGGAACGCTTTACCGTTTTTATATAGTTTTACACAATACGAAATCAAGATTAAGAACATGCACAAAACAAATTCAAAGTGCAAAACCCGCTTAAAGCTATCATTTGGTTATATAATCTTATATCGGCGTTTGGACTTTAACTAGATTTATAGCGCAACACCGTGAACAAAGTGGAAACCCTAAACGCTCTTAAGGCATCTCGCTCTAATTATGCGGGAATAACATTTTTTTTACATAAAACAACGTATCACCTCACATATCCTATCCTCTTCATGCTGGTCAGCATTTAAGGCCTGGATACATTATTTACATTTATGACGGTCTTTAGCTGTTGTTCTCTTTCCAGAGCGAGAGAATAAGAAAAAGAGATGTGGAGGTGGGTGTGTGTGGGTGTGTGTGAGAGAGAGAGAGAGAGAGAAAGATAGTTGCGAGCAAGCAACCGAAAGAAAGATAGATTAAAATAATATGATGACAGAGAGCGAGAGAGAGAGAAAGAGAGATGGAGAGAGAGAGAGAGAGAAAGAAAGGGTATTTTTTCTTTCCAAAATAAATTCTTTTGAGCTACTTCAAGCCCACAAGGAAATTCCCTTTTGATATAGTGGAAGGCTAGGGCAGTATTGGTTCTACTCCGTCAGGGCTAAGAATCATCACAGTCCATCTGGGATGACAACACTGCCTACCAATATCTTGGAAAGGTCGGTACCCTAACCTTCAGTTACCTTCATTTGGAAGGGTTCAAACTATGTAATGTTTAATAGAAACTTTTGTATCTCAATGGCAATAATGTACGTAGTGGTATTTGAAAAATGTATTTCTTGCATTTAAACTTTTTTTTCAAAATCTTTATTAGTTTGCTTTCATTTTTGTTGATTAATGATCTTTCTATAGATTCTTTTCAGTTTTATTGATTTTAAAACACTTTCATTTTGAATATTTCGATATTTTAGAAATGAACATATTAAGGGGTGGTAACTTTAATGGTTAAGTTTTTACCAATCTGTTCACGTGTAGGCAGTATAAATTAAACATGCACACATTCTTCATTTAATTGTATTTCATAAATTTACTTCATTTATTTCCTTATACAACTTGGTTACATATTCAGCAATATGAGATAAAATGTTACACTTCAAACGTTTAGGCATATATTTGAAACTGTTGAAAACATCTTCTATATAATTATTTACATATCAATTTAACCAAACCAACTTAGACAAAGATAATGCCACCACTGCATTCATGCATAAAGTTCTCCAAGAATTGGATTTAGTAAATACTGATGTTGAAGTACAATTTGAAAGGGTTGTGTCTAAAAGACACGTTTGATGCACCCGCTTGAAATGTATAGAGAAGTTAACAGGACAAACCATGTATCCTGCATGCTTTATATTTCCAAAATGTCAAAGCTCAGCAACAAACAAAAGTAAATTAGCAAAAATGCCGAACTCCAAGGAAAATTCAAAACATAAAGTCCTTTATCAAATGGAAAAATCAAAAACACACCAAACGAATGGATAACAACTGTCATATTCCTGACTTGGTACAGGCTTTTCCTTATGTAGAAAATGGTGGATTAAACCTGGTTTTATATCTAGCTAATAACATAATAGGTAAAAATTGGGGTACAGTAGACATCGTTGAGTTATAACCTTAATCACTATAAAAACAAATAACTATTTCAACAAAGAAAAACAAAATGGCATATAAACACTCTAAAGACAAAGCAAAAAAGAATACAAAAGATGACCATAGCACAATAACACAATGGCGGGATGTAAAAATACCGATCCACGCCAAAAGTATATTACCAAAAATGGACTAAACAGTAAAGGTTAACAATATACGAAGACAAATAAAAAAATACGTAATTACGAGGATTAACAACGTCAGTACCTATAATCTATACTTCAAGACCATCATGTATTATTTGTAAAGTTGATACGGAATAATTATCAACAAAGTTTTGGTATCTTCCGATGAACATTTTTAGAAAAAGGACGAGACGTTCTTTGACATTACCCTGGTTCGTCAAATTTCTGCTCAGACACTGGTGACGTTTTATAAAGCCTGAGTAGCAGCCAGCTGCAAGCTTTGGATACCGAATGAGTTGGAAAATGTATATCCCATATGCAGGAAAAGCTGGTATTAACAAGTCATTTGTTGAAAATTTAAGAAAGGCCAAAATTCTGAAAGTATGCATACCTTTAATATGTGTACTGACACAATTCAAAAGTTTAGCTTGACAACTGTAGTCTTGATGAGTTAGCCATATAAACCTTATACCATGTTACACAGGGGTAAACAATAGCCCCAGATACGTTGTCGATGAGGCATGATAAATAGTTCACTTATATGATGATTTTACTTATATGATGGTGTTCTATTTTATAAGCCATTTGGTGACAAAATATCATTTTGAATTAGCAGTTCATATTTGAAAGTTGTTATTACACAAGGATTACTATCATTGGGTAATACAATGGTACTTAAAATGTATCTTTATTCGTTTCAAAGTTAATTAAGAGTTGTTTTATTTCTTTCTATGATCGTATGTGATTGTATTTTGTATATGTGTTCCTCTTGTTTCACTTGTGAATGTGACGGAGTGTTTTTAAATAAAGCATATTGTATTATTGTATTATTGTATTATTATTGTTATTGTCAAAATCTGACTGTTGTTGTGAACATGTGATACTATCATTTGACGAATTAAGTCATTGCTATACTAAATATAATTATAAACTTTCCAATGAATCTTAACTAAAACTACAAATTATTATTCACTGGAAATTCCGACGTCTTTATTAGCAGCATACCCTTTCCCCACAAAAAAGATTCCTTTATTTTTTGTCTTCCAAGCAAAAAATTAGATAGAAAATTTGAATGGGTTTGATTCCACACGAAAACTTTGCGGAGTGTCCAGCAACACAGACATTTCACTCTTGACTTCTAGTATAATGTAAATGTTAAAATGAAAATAGCAATACTTTAACATGTAAAATATGCAAATCATTGAGTCAATGGCCCATGAATGAAGGTGCCCAAATATTCTTCGGGGAAATGAGAAATTCAAATGGTAATAAAACTGCATACAAAATATAACTGAATTATCATTAGTAGTTCATCTTAAACTGACCTCGTCTCAAAATTTAACATGCAAACTATCGAAAAGTTTCAGTCATTAAACCATACCTGAAAATGCAGGAACAAATAATCTTCATGGAAATGTGATGTGCCAAAGCCAATACGGATAAGTTCAAATTCCCGAGGGAGTGCTTTTTAAATGTTAACAAAGAGATATTACTGTGTCTTTTTTCTGTTTCCCTATATTTAAAAAAGTTCAAAGGTAGGAATGTTTTTACTGTGTTTGTAGTCAGAAAAATTGTTCATGTTATTAGTATCTTCACATGTATCTTAAGATTGTTGCTCTTTATTGTCATTTGCCTAGTGGTAGCGTGCCAGATTTGTCAAACCAAAAACTTTAAAATTGGTATTTGCTGATTCCCCACTAAGCACACGGCATTAAGCCTTAAGGAGTAAGACTTTAGAGCACAGACTGGTCGGCTTAGAGTCAGAATAATATGTCTGTGTAAGGTAAAATGACGTCTTCCTGTGGACTGTTACCTTGTGAACTACCATGATAAAAATCCGGCTCGAAGAAGGGTTTATTATCAGATCGCATCAACATGTTCTGGTTCTGAATACGCATTTAATTTGCCAATGGACGTTAAACATCCAGACATCATCATCTTTGTTTTCAAGTTTGTTTAGACAGAGCTTTTTGCTACTCAAACCCTGCAGAGGTCACTCTCCTTGGGGTATTTGCTGCTGCTCAAGGGTGAGATTAAGGTTAATTAATTTCGAAATGAATTTTGTATGCCAATGCAGTTCCTGTCAAGCTCATTTGATTTTTTATTCATGCTTACAAATTTATCGTTACAGCTATTTTTGAGCTGTTTCAAGCTGCTAACTGCTGGTCATTATATTTTTCGATCTGCTCAAAGCTGCATCTGATATGTTTCGAGTAGCTCCTAACTACTCAAAGCTTCTTCCTAAAATTTTCAAGGTGCAGAAAACTGCTAGACATATTTTTTCGAGTAGCTCTAAGGTTCTCCCAATATTTAAGTTGCTCCACGCTGCTCATTATATTTTTGTAAGTTGCTCCAGATATTTTTTGAGATATTTGAAGCTGCTCTAGGCTATGTTCTAGTTAGCCACACAAAAATTAAATGAATGTGGTCTAAAAACTTTTGAAATTAGACACTTCCCAATTATGGTCCAATATCCAAAATCCAAATACATGGTTAGCATATTCAGCATATCAAAGAACCTCAAAAATTCATTTTTTTATGAAATCAAACAAGATTAAATTTTGGACCCTTTGAACATCTATGTGGACCGATTTGATAACCGGGTCCAAAATCCAAAATCTAATTACACAGTCATATTCAGCATATCAAAGAACCCTATATCATGTATATATTTAATTTTTGTTGGAATAAAATAAAATCTAATTTGGACCCCAATTTAGACCAACTTTAAAACTGGGCTTAAAATCAAAAATCTAAATACATGTTTAGATTCAGCCTATCAAAGAACCCCAAGAATTCAATGTTTGTTAAAATAAAACTAAGTTTAATTTTGCACCTTTTGGACCTTAATGTGGACCAATTTGAAATCTGGCCAAAATCAAAAACCTAAATACACGGTTAAATTCGGCATATTAAAGAACCCCCAAACTTCCAGACTTTAAATTAAATCCATTGAAATTGGTAAAAAAAAAGCAATTTATACAAAGTATTAAAAACATATTGTTTTAGGCCTCTTTTTCCTCAGCGTTGAGGGCCATAACCCCCAAAATCAATCCCAAATTTCCTTTTTTGGTATGGAACCTTGTGGTACAATTTCATAGAGTTCCACAGAATTATACTAAAATTATTGTCTGGAAACCAGAAAATCCTTCTTGTTTTGGCCCCTAATTCCTAAACAGTTAGGACAATGACTTGTAAAATCAGTTCCAACCTTTCTTTTGTGGTATGGAACCTTATGTTAAAATTTCATAGAGATCCAAATACTAACACTAAAGTTATTGTCTTGAATCCAACTGTCTTTGGCAACAGTGAAGACGCCGACAACAATACCATACCATACTGTGGCGGCAAAAATTTTGCAATTGTATAAAAAAGTTTGGACCTGTAATTCTCAACACAACTTTTTCTTTTAATGAAAACAGACCAAAAGATAATTTCACATTATTTTATTTCAAGATATTTAATAACAAGAAACAAATCATTCTCATAAACAAAGTATCTGTACATAATCTACATTGATTAGACATTATTAAGCAGTTGTCTCCCTTTACAAGAGATTCACTCAGTTCAACTGCTAAGGAGTAGTTATCTTCCTTATACATAATTTTAAGTATGCTACTGGAAATTTCTCCTTTAAAGACAAATTTTCAGACATCAGAGGAATGTCCCTTCCTCACAAGAACTGAAAATGGTATTATATTTTTCCTAAATAGACAACCATTCTCAGTTAAATAACTTATCATAGTAACAGAGTTATCAGAGCTAACATTATATTTAAATTAAATTTCGTGTTTTCTATCTGACTAATTACTTTTTCTTGTTTTACTTGAAAAAGCTTAAGGTAAGAGGAAAATTGAGAAACTCTACTATTATTTTAAGTTCAAAATTCTGAATAAATGCCGACCTGGTGTGTGATTCCACTTTACTTATTTCATTGTATTTTAAACAAAAGAAAATAAAACAGTACTGGAGCAAATAAAAGAATATTAAAACCCTGAACATATCTGAATATTCATATTAAAACCCTGAACATATCTGAATATTCATAACATAATGTGCATTAGAACTCAAGGTAAACCAAATTTTATAAATATAACCTTTGAAATGATAGCTGTTCTACAGATAACATTATTTCTGTTTATTTTGTTACAAACTTTGTCTAGCAAGTACTACAGTTTACTTGATTCTATAAACAATGACATCTGATGCTCAAACATCCTTGAAAGAACATTTTTTGTGTACATTTTACAAAAGTTCCAGTAAATATTGATGGATTCTTATATTAGTATCTCTTATTTGGCCTTTTAATATTTTGATTAGTGCGTCACTGATAAGTCTTTTTTATCGCTATTTTGTGTAATATTTTTTTGATCTTTTTTTGTGATAATTTTCATATCATGTAACGGGCTAGAGATAAAAAATAATCGTCAGAAACTAAAGGCACATGTGACGTTGTCAATGTAAACATCAACGAAGTCATAGGCAAAATAGCGATAAACAGATTATCAATGGTCTTTCAAACTCGAGGATGTTTCTTTGCCACATCTCATCTTGGGGTTGTCACCCTTCAATGAGATTGTAACTGAGAAACACCCTTTCGTTTAAAAAACCATCAATAACCTATAAGTAGACGAAACATGTGTCTGGCATACAAAAATATAATCCTGATATCTTTGATTTACTTGCAGGATATGAAAAAAAACATTGCTTTATTTCTTCTAAAACAATTAATTCAAATTTTGTGACTGTCTAGCAGTTTAGTCTTTGTTACGATGTGAAATTTTAACCAAAGTGGTATTGAGCACTGAAGGGTAAAGATTGCATTCATTTTGCAGTGGGAATTTAAAATTAACAGGGCATTGTATTACATCTTTTTGGAACGCAAAACTATGAATTGAAGATGTGATAATTATTGACAAAGGAAGAAAACTCCAATTTTAAATATTACTTCAACAATGACATAAATGATATTTTTAGGACTGATACAAAATTCATGCACCATGCATACTTTTGTAATTTTCTTGACAAGCATGTTTTTAGAAATACACATTATTCTATTATTTTGAATATCTGACTATATATATCATTAATTAATTTTTTGAAATGTTCTCATGGATAGGACATATTGAATTTTGGGCTCAATGTCCGGTTTTCTCTCTCTCTCAAAAGAAGTGATAAAGTCTTCTGCAAGAATGTAATCTTTACCTTGAACAAACAGTTGTTCTCGGTAAATAAATCCAATCAATTCAATGTGGAAATACATAAATATAAGACCAGGCTGAGATAGAAAGAAGACATGAAAATAAAAAACAATACTGAAGTGATGAAAATGACAGATGAGAATGAAGGAGAAAAGAACAGGTAACAAAGAAATGATCTTGCAAATATGACAAAACAAAAAAAAAATCTTTTACATTTTATCAACTGCTTCATATATCAAAAAACAAACTTTAAACATTAAATATAAATTCATTGCAGTGTTACCTTTAAATAACAACAATGCAAGTCTTAATTTTTTGGTGCTTTCAGCATTTTTTGGGGTTATATTAAAATTTTTCTTTATGACACAATTTTTTTTTATGAATTTCTATCAATTGAAAAAAAAATAATATAAGAACTCAAAAACATATAATTAATGAACTTATTTCAATGAAAACAAATTTCTACAGATATAACCCAAACCATGTAATATACAGCTTCAAAATAATGGATTGAAAACAAGCCTTTGAGGCATAAAGGTCCCACTCATAATGCCCTATAACTTATAAATGATTAACACATTACTTAAAGTACACATCATCCATTCAAACACCAATGGTTTTTTTATCTTTCTCTTTTGCCTATAACATTCTCTCTACTTTCATCCATCTATTCCCTTTTACCAACAAGCAGCTTTTCACATCTGAACACAATTCAAAGGTGGTAAAACACCATTATTATGTTTAAAATCTTATGGCATATGAGAAAGTAATGAAATTCATCCTCAACATCTGCACAGCATCTACATCTGTAACTTAATCATGTCCTGTATTTCGAGGACATTGTCACACTTCCTGAAAATTTTCCATGCACTAACCTACTATCACAGCCCATTCAATCATATAAAAATCCTAGATCAACATCGATTACTATTCATAATCATCATCATAACTGTCATTATTAGAAAACAAGTGTACGACGAGTTCATATGTTGACATCATTAATGCTGTGTTCGGTATTTGTCTTATCAGCTGTGTACCCAATCCACGATAAAGACCACGGAACCCTTCCTCTTTACCAACAGTCACAAGAGTCTGAAAGAATGATTTGTACTTTGAACCTTCCTCACGAAGCCGTGTTCGTACCACTTCTGTAAGTAAAAAGTAAACAAAAATGTAAATATTTACAAGGATTTGTTTTGCATGATATAATATAAGAAACAAAAACTAATGTGTTTTTATGCCCCACCTAGGGGCATTATATTTTTTCGGTCCGTTCGTTCGTTTGAACATAGAAAATGAAAATGATAGTGCGAGTGGGGCATCCATGTACAATGGACACATTCTTGTTTTTTATATTGTGATAGGAATATTGTATGCTGAAATTGTATTAATACTGAAATTATATTTATAAATCTCACATTTTGGTATCTTGATCAAGAATTTCAATAATCTTTAAATTTACAGTAACTGGCACTGCCTTATTTTGAAATCCATCAGGCAACCAGGACAACATTTTCTGAGATAGATATTTTAAGGTATCAAGTTCTGTGTTTGAGTTGATCAATCTTTTTAAATATTTTTTAATAAATATTTTCATTGTAAATCAACAAATAGGAAAGACTCTTAAGTGCTTCAGCCATCGTCAGTGCTCATAGAATCAAAATGGCTAACATCAAAAAGATAAATCTAAGCTTAGTAATGTTAGTATTCATAAAAAACTGAATTGAACTGAGCACATTAAGGAAATATTTTGAAATAGAGTTATCTTCCTTTGTCAATAATTGTAGTTAAACATTTTTTTTTTTTTTTTTTTAGTCATTTACACTAAACAACTTAAGTAATTTTTGATAAAATGGTTTTCTGGCAAGTATGTTTACTGGTATCCTGGATCTGCTTACCCTTTCCGGAGCACCCGAAATCACCCCCATTTTTTGGTGGTGTTTCTGTTGCTGAGTTTTTAGTTTTCTGTCTATGTTGTGTTTTGTGTACTGTTGCATGTCTTTTGATCTTTTTCCTTTTTTTTTTTTTTGCATTGTCAGTTTATTTTCGACTTTTTAATGTCCCTTTGGTATCTTCGCCTCTCTTTTAAATACATAAACATTGATATAATTTAACTTGAATAATAACATTAAAGAACCTTAGTGAGCGCGCTCACATACCGCACGTCCCCACATTGTCATTGGAGAAATAAAATAAGTGTAAGAAAAAAAAAATTGTATCAAAAAAAATTGAATCATAATTTCCTGTCAATATGCACATCTACGTAGTATGTACTTATTATCTGAAAAGATTTCATGAAATTCTGTTGTGTGGTTTGAGAGGAGTTGCAATGACAAAAGGTTGCAGTAGTATATTGGGCAAATAAGTTCAAAGGGGCGTAACTCCTGGAAAAAAAATTGAATCGTAATTTCCTGTCGATATGCACATCTACGTTGTATGTCCTTATTATCTGAAAAGGTTTCATGAAATTCTGTTGTGTGGTTTGAGAGGAGTTGCGATGACAAAATGTTGCAGTAGTACATTAAAGTAAATAAGTTCAAAGGGCGTAACTCCTAGAAGAAAAATTGAATCGTAATTTCCTGTCCATATGCACAACTACATAGTATGTCCTTATTATCTAAAAAGGTTTCGTGAAATTCTGTTGTGTGGTTTGAGAGGAGTTGCGATGACAAGAAATAGGACTGACGGACAGACGGACAGACGGACGGACGGGTCAAAAACATTATACCCTCCGCAACTTGTTGCGTGGGGTATAATTATGACAACCAATAATGCAAGACCCATAAGGCTAGTCAATGACCAAAGACAGAAAATAGCACACAGTTGTAGGTGTAGTTCTTACCATGAGGGTAGGCCACGCATGTGGCACACGTCTTCGAAACAGCACCAGCAGCCATGAATCGGAGAAAATCTGTAGCAGAACGACTATCATGTTGACTTGATCCATTGTATTCTAACATTCGAGCCTTTAATGCTTCATATATCACAAAATGTATAACTGTCTCAGTAACACCAAAATACGAAGCAGTAATTCCACGGTAAAATGCCTTAACACCTTCAGTCTGGTAAATGTTTTTTACACATTGTCTGCATGTTAAACTGTTATCCTTCCTGGAAAAAAAAGATACCCATAAACTAAAAAGTAAAATAACAAAAAATACCGAATTCCAAGGATAATTCAAATCGGAAAGTCCCTCATCAAATGGCAAAATCAAAAGCTCAAACACATCAAACGAATGGAAAACAACTGTCATATTGCTGACTTGGTATAGGCATTTCCTTATGTAGAAAATGGTGGATTAAACCTGGTTTTATAGCTAGCTAAACCTCTCTCTCTCACTAAAAAGATTGTATTTTTCATTTACTTATGGTGGATTCATTATTAATCATGGTGTACTTTTTTTTCAGGATTTCGTAGGTAAAGATTAACCCCAAATTCAAATGTTCAACTACTTTAAATTTTCTATAGGCTTGTTTGCAGACCTAGGCAAATTCACTGTATTTAACTCAATATCTATGTTTTTCTAAGAGCTTGGACTATATAATGAGTCAAAGAAAATCTAAACATTCTCTATAAACAAACTGAAACTTTGTCCGTGCCGTTGCCTGCCATCAACAGGGAAGTAGGAACATTGGTGGGGTAATCTTGCTCAGTCTTTAGTTTTTTTTATGTAGAACAGTAACTGTTATGAGTTAATTTATTTTTTTACCCATAATGTTGTCATGTCTTTCTTCGACTTATGTATTCCCTCCGATTTCTTATCTTCCTCTAATTCAATTCTTAACATTTCATCAAACCTCCCAATAAAACAGATCTGTTGACACAGAAACTACAGAACACATATGGAGGACCAAGGCTATATATCAAAAAACTTCACTCAGTGCTCAGAGTACAAAATTTGCGCTCGAAACACCAAATTCAGTATTTTAATTGGTTTATTTCCGAGTCTGAGTACAATAATAATACACAAAAGTTGTATGACTATAATCTGTAAAATACATTTGCAATACTTAATAAATAAATGTGTTCCTTCTTTTTCTGGTTTATTTAGGGATTTACCATTTTATCCCTTTTTATGCTCTCCGGTATATATATTTTTTGACTTAACAAACTTTTATTCTTGTGAGTACCTGATAAAGGTTAATCGAAAAATGTTTGTTCCGAACACAAAAATTGGTATCAAACGTTTTTTATACATACTTTGAATCTAACTGAAGTCGTGTCTTGACGAACCAGATCGGATTTGTAAGAGTACATGCAGTGAAACCTGAAAATGAAAATAACAAACTGTATTGTCTGAAATAATCTAATTTCTTCCAACATAAAAATAACACTGCAGTGCCTTTTTTAGAATGAAAATTAAAATATTTAGGGATTAAATGTCTATTTTAACATTCAAATATTTTTGGTGATATGTTTAACACACAATTCTTTTAAAGTTTATGTTTATTCAATATAATTGCTTGACAATAAAAACTCTCACATTTTTTCTCTCAAATACATTGAAATATATGAAAAATATGTCGTCTTAGAAAACAATAAACAAAAAAACAAACAAACAACACAATGAAAATAAAGAAATAAAAAATATATTAACCATTGAATCAAAAGTAAAGAAATAGAATAATGAAGAAAGAAGCAAAAAAAAAAAAAGAAATGTTTTAACAATAGGGTACTGTTTATGAATAGCCAAAATGGTTAATTCACAAATCTATTTTGTATCTAATAGTGTGAGAAAAAGAAGAAAAAAATTTATTTCTTTTCTTTTCTTTTATTAAATCAAATCATCCATTTTCATAATTTATAACACGATAAACAAAGAGTAGAAAAAGTATTTTTATAATAAAGATGTGTTTCAAATAGGAAAAGACAACTCTGTTAAAATTTCAATGAATCATTTTTGTTGTCAAACATTTATATAACACAAGACCAGGTATTTTAGTTGGTAAATAGTGCAAATAATGATGAGTCCCATTTGTGAACACACAAATCTCAAAATATAAAAATTATTTATTTGTATTATTTCTTTTTAAGAAATTTAAGAAAGATTGCATCAGTAAAATATTTTTCATTCTGGATTTCAAGGGTAGTTTTGTTTTTAGCTTTAGAGCTATTTTCCTAATGCTTGTTGTTCAAAGGTTTGGTTGGCTTGCTTGCTTTGTTTGTATAAATGTTTGATCAAGCATTGTAATTAAGATTGACATTTGCAATCAATAGATAGGCGGGGCTTCAGCTTGTATACATTATACTTGTAAATGTTATTGGATGTTAAGTATAATATATAATTTTATTGCATGCATTCAAAATACCTTACAGGAGAATTAATAATGACTTTATCAAGATGTTGTACAAGATGGTTTGATATGAATCATGCACACATACAATGTATGACCCCTATTTATAGTTTAGCTTTTCGAAAACCTCTTCCAAACGTCAATGCCAAAAGCATTCAGGTTTATCTAACTCTCTTTCTGTGACAACAATTCTTTCACCAAATAAATTTTGTATTTCAATTTAAGGTGTCAAATACAACCAGTTCAAATTAAGCCTGCGACTTGCACCCTTTTCATACACAAGATAAATATATATATATGCATCAACATGCTAAATCAATGCAGATTGTTCGTATTAATAAATTGTTCGTTGATCAACACAATACGGAGCGGGTTTTCCACCATAAACACACAAACAATCTTCATCCTGCGACACGAAAAAGGCTATGAAATTCACACACAAAGATATACCCAATATATATAAATATATGTCACAATCCATAAATTGGTGAGTGTTTTGCAGGCTCAAACTTGACCAGTTATAGATAACACCAAAAATTGAAATTTCACAAAAATGAATGTCTTACCCAACCAGTGTTCATGGAACACTGGTCAAGGATGTCTGAGCTATAAATAGCTTCCCCAAGTCTGTGCTATAAATAGCATTCAATGGATCACAGGTTTTTCCGGGATTCTTTCTGAAAAGACTTTTATTTAGGATTGCTGATGTTGCAGTCAAAACATTTTAAAACACAATTTCTGATGCATAGACATACAACTTTAAGTTAAGTAATGCTCATATTTCAATGAAATTCATTGATTTTTTTTCTAAATATCACAATGAATTTCTAGCATTTTTTTTTAATCTAAATTTCATGAAACAGAACATATATTTTTTATTTGTGTTACATTTTTCACCATTTTTGTTACTTCAAAACAAAGAAGCATCATGTGTATTTTTTTGGTTTAAATCTGTAGATTTTACTTTAACATCAGTGTTCCTTTCTGTTCATAACGTTGTCTAACCCTAGACATACTGCCAAATTTTTTATCACTGATTTTTTTCGGTTAATGTGTTAACCTTACACATATTACATATCAAATATATTTCTAGCCAAAAACAGACATTTTTTGAAGTATTTGAATGAAACACTAATAAAGAATAAAATAAAATCATTCTATGTTTAAACAAATTCAAAACCAATTTCAACTCCTTAGAAAGCAATATATTGCAAATACTTCATCTTCTTGGATTTTTGTCATAGCTGTCAATTTTAATGGCCAAGGTATTATCCCCCTTTTGAAAGATTTGTAAAAAAAAAAAGTTGTCTAACATGTCTAAACAATTAACCTGTTTTATATCACAATGTGAAATGTACATGTAGTTAGATTGACATTGATAAACATGAAACATTGTGAAAGATAGTATGATGATTATCTATCAAAATATCTATAAAGTTTTTTCTTACACACAAAAAAATATGTCTTTTTTTTTTCTCCTTTCGAAGTTAGGACATCAAAAAAATATCCCATCAACGCAAATTTGCTAAGCACAACTTCACATGGTTAAATTGTTTGGTTTATTTATATATCTTACACAAATAATTTTTTTTCAGCAACAAACTAATGTAATGGATTGACAGACAAGCAGGAGGACAGGACAATACAATCAATATGTTTCGCATAACATTCAAACTTGCATAAAGGTCACCCTCTGGACCTTTGAATTAGGTTCAAAATGCAAACTACAGCAGGACAAGAATCATATAAATGATGAGTTGTATTGAATATGGACAGAAATAATGGACAAAATTAGACAATGAAATTCTCATCAAAAGTTCAATCAAGCATTTGTTAGGTCTTAATTTCTAAGTTATTCAAATAAATTTCTTTTTTACAAAAAGTATTGACAGAAAAATGTAATATTAAATGAAAAATAGCTTGATTATTATTTTGAAAATACTGATAAAAAAATTTCCCAAATTAAGTCAAGAATGAAAGCGGTCTGTCGTCTTATAAAAAAAAATAAAAAATACAAGAAGTGTGTCAATATACTTGCGTATTTCCCCATTAAAAAAAGTTTTACTAATTGTCTCTCTCTTTTAAACCATAACCGATATTTGGTGATTCAACACTCAAGCAAGCTGTCACACAACTTTTAATGAAAATTCTTAGTGTTGATTTTTTGTGTTTTTTTTTAAATTAGAGTTATGTCCCATTGACCATAATAAGAACCCACCTGCTGTTACTGCTGAGCCAATGTGGACTAGAGGAGTTTCTGGGTTCATCACTGTATTTAAATAATTCTTCATGTTGGCATAGGAGAAAAAATATATTGCCCTGAAAATATACAAAAACAAATTTTTTTGTCAATGGTGAATCCTATCATTGCAAAAAAAAAAAAAAAACAAAAAAAACAAAACATTATATGGGTACAATATTTAATATTTCACTCATCCAGAGCAAACAAGTTCATTTTTACTTTTTAATCACAATTATATCAATTTTCTTGTGTTTGAGAATACTTCTTCCTCAAATCTTTTTTTGTTTTTCCACATGTTCTTTTAATTTAGGGTAAACTTCAAAGTGTAGGTACTGGACTTGTTAGGTCTTTTCTGGTTTAATTGGGTTAGTGGGTTGTGATCTCAGTCAGTGATTGAAGCAGCACCATCTTTTATTTATCATATTTAAAAAATTCTTAATACTACAGATGCTAGTTAAAACAAGACAAATACTGATCTGAACAAGTATTTACTGGAAATGACTTGCAATTTTTTGTTCTGTTAGTGAGTTAATCCTCCCAGTTAACACATCATTAACTGCTAGAAAAAATGTGTTAAATCCTATATAATTATATGTTTTAAATAAATCTTATTCATTGGCCTGCATGGGAAATTTTATCAACCTAAGCTTTTGGGCCTCTATTTCAACTATGTGTAATATAACTTTTAAGGTAATTTCAATGTATACCAATCAGGCAATGTTCTCTTTTCTTTAGGTAATTAACATACTAGTATTCTGAAACTTAGTAACTTGCATTTAGTGAGAATATTGCCATTAAAACAAATTTATTAAAATCAGGATCTGTTTAATCTGTTTGCAAGACAGACATAATAATAAATTGATACTTTTATACCGAACATGGTTACCAGAAAAATTCAAATACATGGATCTGACCTACTGACGCACTTATCTACCTGTACAAATTTACCTTAGTCTAGAATAAATAAACATATTCAAACAAAATCGACATACATGTATTTCAGAATTGGGACTGAAGATTTTGTTCTGATAAGGCAAATAATTAGTCTGTTTATATGTAGGTTAAATTACTAAACAAACTCCTAGGTTAAATTACTAAACAAACTCCTTGTTTGTCTAGATTCCAGATTCCAGATTAAACTAGTTGATAATTTATGCATGGTTGAGTTTAAACAGGTTGTCAAAGTACATGTATATTATTTAATAAACATTCTTGCTAAGTAGCCAGATTTTTTGTACTATTATCTGGTCACAAACTACAATCAAATTTACAATTCAGCCTGCACGTGATCTTTCAAACTCTGCCAAATTAGCGATTAATTCACCCACATAATTAAATGGAAAAATTTTACCCTGGACAATGGCCAGAATTAATGTTTGTTTATGTTTACTGTTAGTACATATCAATAGCGTGTAAAAACAAACTCCTTGTCAACAGTGATGTTTATGCTTTTTTTCTAAATTTCTAAAAAAGAACAACAACTTGAAATTTTATGTATTTTTTCATAATGCACAAAAGACTTTAACATGAAATTTGACACTGTTCTAAATTTTTATATATATATTTATAGAAGTCTATAAAAAGGACCCACCAGAGAATAAAATATGTACATGATGTACCGGATCGTCTGGAATAGGTGATACTGTGCAGATAAGAATTTTTTTTTATAAAAGTCCTCATATTTGAGCAATGGTACTAATATTATGGTAATATACGAATATATGATATCATTACAGGAATTTTAACCAAAATTACACAAATTCAACATTATATAATTTGCAAATTAGGGATAGTTTAAAATACATCTGATTTTACGGCTGTTTGGACTGGCTGTTACAATTTTTTCTGCAACATTACATGTCAGAATACACATTACCTATTAATAAACATGATAAAAACTTAGGGTCATACCCTCATACAGTGTAATATCATTAATCAGTTAATTAGTTCGTCATAATTTCTGCACTGATAACATTCCAACATGACATGTATGAGTTGAGAACTAAGTGAAGGTCATATGTTTTTTGCTCATCTTGTTCAAAATAAACCAAAGACATGTCTACATGTATTACATTTATAGATGATTCAGGGACTGGAAAAATACTGCCAAAAATACTGCACAAGTGTAATGCATGATCAGACGAAACACAAGGGCTGTACAATGTACATGTATCTATCTGTACATAGTACAGTTCACACATTCATTTAATGAAAAACCTGTAGTGTGATTTTTCAGAGTGAATTCAGGTTATTATGGGTGATGGTCTCTGTATAATCAATAAATATTTCATGACCTTGTAAATTCAAGGCAAATAAAGTCTTTAAGAAGATACAAATCTAGGTAAAAAAAAAAAAATACTGAGGGAATGGCATGATCTCCAAAAGCATCGACATCAGGTGTTTGAATAGGGTATTAAAGCAAAGAGTTTTCGACAAAATTGTAACCCAAAATCACCAATAAATCACCTTATTTCATTGTGATTAACTCAATATTAAGCGAATGATTTTAACAGAATCTCCTTAAATTGTGTTTACCGTATGTACAATGTATTACTGTACCAGACAGAGGTGGATTAAGGTGGTGCCCTGGTCCCCCCCCCCTTTATAGAGCTACATTGACGGTTAATCCAGAATTTTTAACCTGTTCCACTCCTTACTTTGCCTAGTTTGGTGGCCTGTGGGCCCCCTGTTTAAAATCCTGGATCTGCATCTGACACATGTCTGAGAGACCTTAATTGATTGTCTTACAATGAAAACTTAACATGGAAAATCTTGTATATATGTAGGACAAATTGATCTTTTATTTATCATGTTTATATTAGAATATCCAAAATTTATAATGCATGCATATGTAAACAATGGTAAATATTTTCCATTTTTCTCTTTATCCTGTTTGTTTCACTGAAAAAAAGCCTATACACTGAAGTCATTTCCCTATTTTTCTAAATCTTTAAATTGAAAGGCTTTATATCGTAGTCCTTCCCCCCCCCCCCTTTTTAATCTTGAAATTAAACACTTTAAACTAAATAATTGCCAAATAGTTATGAAACAGGTTAATAAGTTTATTAAACCATTGCACCAGGTATATATTTCTCCATTGAACTGGTTCTATTTATATATTTAAATATATGCAATTAGGTAAAGAGAAATTTAAATGCATATATAATAAATAAGGTAGTCGACCTATAATTTCCATTCATCTGTTCATTCATTAACGGAAAATTCCCACAAACCAAAACACATGATATGTACGAAAACAAGTTGTAAAATATTTCCTTCCCGTCATTAACTGTACAATGAAAAATTGGCCACCATTCATTTTGGTGTTTGTTTAATTTTTGTAAATAAATGTGACCTACATTTTTCTTGCAAAATGACTTGAATACAAGTCTGTACCATCAGATATATATTAATCATTCATTCATGGTGCACCTTACATTTGTATACATGTCTGTCAGTCTGTATTCTAAATGCTAATAATTGATAACTTAAATGTAAGTAAAAAAGGCTTTAAACTGGTTCTCTATATATTCTATTGAATAAACTGTGAAGTAAAAATAAATGTGGACTGAAAATTTCTAGTAACACTTTGACCGCAGCTTGTCAAATATTGACATTGAGGGGTAGAAAAATAAACAGGACTTCTACTTATGTACAGACATTTAGTTGTCAAATTCCAATCAGGTCCAAGAGAAAGTACTCCAAGGTCCTGAGGGGCCTTTATTTATGAAATTGAAAAATTATGAAATAGCTACAGAAATACATGTATCCAATATTGGCAAAAAAAATTTAATTTCATAAAAAATGCCCCTTATCTGTTTAAACATTTCTACATTATGATCAACTTTCACTGAAGGGGAATACAATCGATTGAAGTCAATCTAAAACTCAGAATAAAATACATGTACTTTGAAACAAGATTTTCTGGAAAGCGCTATTCATGTACATAATCTGATAAAAATTTCATATATGTCAGCATTATACTGAAGCATTACACTTTAAGATGTTATTCAAATATGACAAACTTAGCCGTACAAGTACTTTATAAGTGAAATACTCAGTGTTTAACTTAGATAACAGCTGACACTCAAGGAAGATAACAGCTGAAACCATCATAAGTACAACATTAATTTCAAGGTCAAATACTGTGTAACACTAATCTAGTTTTATCTACAGAATTTTATCTTACATGCTTATAGTATAAATATGTACCAAGTGTATGTATGCATTGCAGACAGTTGCATATAGATAAACAATGATAAATTTACAAAGCTTTCAAATTTAGCCTTCTGAAAAAATCAGTGAGTCACACAAGAACCTAATTTTCAAGTTTCAATCGCACAAACATGCTGAAGTCATCGCCACTTATAAACAAATGTCAAATACTCATGATTTGAAAAAAAAAAAAGAAAATGAAGAAAATAAGAAATACTTGGTCTAGAAGTCCACATGGCTTAAAGCCAAAGATATTTCAATCGATAAAGTTTTTTTTATGACGTGCAGAATTAATACAATATACCCAGGACAAATGGAATAATTCTTATTAGACTTGGGAATTGTAAACTGCACATTCAAAAAATGAATTCTTATTCAAATAGGTGTATGTTGATAAAGCATTTTTGGAAAAATTCTGGGCCAAAAATCTTTCTATTTAATTTAAAGTATGGTATGAATTAATAAAATATAAAAAAAAAAGAAGATTTTTATATTACATTTCATTTAATTAAGTAATATTTTGACCGACATAAAAGTTTATCCTTACATGTTTATACCCAGTTTAATTTGCAATCGATTGATATAACTGTTCTTGTCCCAAGTCAGGGCTCTAGATAGTGATTATTCAAACTTCATGTATTTTGTTGGGGATTTTTTTTTTTATGGAAGATCATTGCTGAATTTATTTATAACTTTTGTAAACAATATTGGCATACTTGTTTGGCCACTTTGTCTTTACTAATTTGTGTATTATATAAAACTGAAAATGGCAGATATTTCTTTAATCTTTTGAATGCTGTGCTAATTAACTGATTTAAGAGGGTGGTAAAGGGGGGGGTGCTTGCACGGAAAAAACGTGAAA